AGGGCCATTTGAAGCTCAACACACATTCACAATGCATGTTGTGGTGGGTGCCATTTTGTGATCCTATCAGTCTTCAAATTAGCATTGAAACACTTTTCTATAATTATTTCTGAATAGAAGACTTATACCACCATAATGTTACCACTTGTAATAATGGTGTTACAGTGCTGTAATGCCACAAATACAACAATGGTAATTTTAAAAGAGTTTTAAAAACCCTTATGATGCCCCAGCCAATTTTGCAACTGAAGTGGTTTTGTAATACAGTTTCATGGTGGGACAATGCAATATTTCAAAAATTATAGCTGGAAATTATTTTAACGCTAATTATAGATGAAAATCAATGGGATTGTAAAGCAGCACCCATTGTAAGGAGTTTGCTGAAGGTGAGCTGAGCTGCCATAAGGTTCACTTGACCAATTAATCACTGCTGTCAAAACATAATCTTTTGAAAAGATAGAAGGGTATTGTTAAAGTCACCTATACCTGTGGGCACTGCACTTTTCTATTTTTCTGAAAAACGTTGGACTTTCTGTGGTCTGAGAAAAGATTGAAGAACAACAAAGAAAATACAGGTTGACAGTGTTGGGATGTCTGTGCCATGCAGATGCACTGTCAAAAAAACATGGATCAGACACAGCATTTCCCACATTTAGTATCTTCAGGCACCAGTTATTAAAGTTAAAATAGTTAGACCATTGTCCCCCCGCCCCCCCCCGGCTTCACAAAGTCTTCTTTTTAATCCCAAGTCCTCGCCTGCAAACATCAGATACCCATCCAATTAGATATAAGGCTGCTCCTATTGCCATAAATGGCCATTTCATGTGCGTTTCACTGCTATCCTGGAATGCAAAGGATGCATTACTGAGGGAAGAGTGCACACTGCACAGAGGAGCTTCAATACTGAGATGGAATCACGACAGAACTCCAGTTTGGGTTGGACCCAAATAGTGTGGACCCTGTTTGTGTTAGAAGAATCTAAAACTGAGAATTCATATGCTTCTTTCATTGCTTCTTTCTCAGAGGTTTTTTGCTGATAACTCCTGGTATTCAGAATACTCTTCCAGATTATTTACCCTGTTGTCTGATTCCAAGCCAAAAGGGTGTTAAAGAAGATGAGGATGAATGGCTGGTAATTCCCTCAAATCACCCAAGGTGAGATTACACCTCCAGACTGGAAAGGAAACTTGAGTGCTGGCCCAAGTGCTTACTAGTCTTAAACCTGATATAACCAAAGGACGGTCATGCAAGAATAAAATATCTGAACATTTGCAACAGGACAGGCAACTGTCCTTTTCAATAAGTGGGTATTGAGAACTGATGAGTAGTGCCAGCCTCTCTGCATTTGACTAAAGTAGCCCATTATGAAAGGGACTTGGGTGGTGCTGTGGTCTAAGCCACTAAGCCTCTTGGGCTTGCCAGTCGGAAGGCTGGCGGTTCGAATCCCCGCGACAGGGTGAGCTGCTGTTGCTCGGTCCCAGCTCCTGTCAACCTAGCAGTTCAAAAGCATGTCAAAGTGCAAGTAGATAAATAGGTACTGCTCCGGCGGGAAGGTAAACAGCATTCCCGTGCGCTGCTCTGGTTTCGCCAGAAGCGGCTTAGTCATGCTGGCCACATGACCCGGAAAAACTGTCTGTGGACGAACGCTGGCTCCCTCGGCCTGTAAAGCGAGATGAGCGCCGCAACCCCAGAGTTGTTCACGACTCGACTTAACTGTCAGGGGTCCTTTACGTTTTAGCCCATGATGATTGCCTAGGTAGGAGTTTGATTTAAAGAATGACGAGACAAAAGCTTTGGATGCCCAGGAATGGACAAAACCACTGAGGAACTAATCAAGATTGATGTGATTTATGCCTTATGTGGAAATATCTCAGAAGTCTTTCATCATTCTGTTATGTCCAACAGAGGGCATGCAAGGCCAGCATCAGTGAGGCTGAACCAGGCTCATTGCCATGGTGTGATATCATCAGCTCCCATTGTCCTTCCCACCCCTACCTTCTCTATGGCTTTGGTGAGCAGCAGGGCTGCAGATGTGGTGACCCATTGCTCCACTAAGCCCCACCAGAAAAGAACAGAGTTTGGGTTGCACCCTAACTAAGCAACAGGTTAACAAACGGCAAGACAGTATTCCCGCTGACTACTTTAACAATAAAATTAAGGGCAATACTCCCATTTACTAAATACTGTACTTTTGCTTGATGTTTCGGCTCCATTTAAAAACTTGGACTGATGATGCATACAGTCATATTTAGAAGTAAGTCTCATTGAGTCCAATGGAGATTATTCCCAGTGAGTATAGGATTACAGCATGAGGCTGCAATCCAATTATAGTTATTTAGGACGAAGTCTACTTGAATTTAGTGGCACTTCCGAGTTAACATGCACAGCAGGATAGGGTTACCGGACTAATTGATCAGGAAAATGGCACAGAAAACGCGCGATTGCCCTACCTAATCACAACTTTCAGATAAACAACCCTGAGCAGTAGAATGGAAGATGGCACGAGAGCAGCAAGGGAAGGAAGGAACACAAGTGGCTTCTGGGTGTTTTCTGTTGTACCAAAAGTTTGTTAGGGGATTAGCATATGCCAGTAGGAGTCACTCTTGGCTTCTTAATAGAATTTAAAATAAATTAATGCAACCAAATATACCAATTATTTATTGTAGGTAACAATGTCAATAAAAATACAGGTGGCATGCTTACCCTCACATTATTTCTGTTTAACTTATATTTTCTTGTTGCAATATAATTAATTCAAATACCATGAGTCTCCTCAAGTTTGAAAGAACACAAATCTGAAGTTAGCTATAGCCAAATCAATTTGTTGAGCTAAAATTGAATTATATTGTAAGCATGAGAACTACAGCTAATTTTTATATTTTTAGTGGTACACAGTTGATGTATTTGGATATAATTGTCACAAGCATAGCACATGCCAATTCATAAGCCAGGTGTCACTCAATATACTATGTTAATTGTTCACTCTTATTTTTATTTATTTATAATATTTTGAACCATCCTGTCATCATAAGTGATCTCAGGGTAGGGTACAATACAATTAAAATCCATCCAAATTAAACCATCACAATTAAAAAATGCACCCAACAACAATAGCATATAAGACAAATATGGTTATAACCCAACCTTCTATCAATTCCTTCATTACAGTCTCCACATGTGCTACATTTGTGTACATATAAACTGATGGAACTCAGTAACTCAGAAGGAGAAGTGGAAATTGGAATTTTGCACTCACAGATCACACAAAAGTACCCCAAGCCACATGTTGTTGAGCTCTGCTTCGTAACAAGTGATACCAGAATTTAAATTTGCCTATTATAAAATGATCCCAAACCAACTACTAGTCTGTGGATTGCATATTCATGATAACTACCAAGCTACTGTTATTATATATAAGCCTGGAATATATCACACTTTAATTTAGCAAAGCGATTTAATCTCATTTGTCCTCACAATAACCTTAACAGTCCTATTGTTATTACCATTTTAGAAGCTGAGGAAAAATCTGTCTATCCCAAGCCCGTGACCGATCAAGGATCTGAACACAGACTTGCTGTGTCTAATTTCTGTATTTCAGCCCTACACTTTTAGTTCTGGATTTATTTTATTCTATTTTATATATAGAATAAAAGTAGCTCTGAGGTCAAAGCAGTGTTTTCAGCTATAATCATATGCACGCTTACAGTACAGGCCCATACATGCCTACTCAGAAGTAAGTCCTATTGAATTCAATGGAACTTGTACACATGTGTATAGGATTGCAGCCTCACCCTGGGAGTAAACTTCATTGGATATGGTGGACCTTATTGCCCAGTAAATAGGTGTAGAATGGAGCTGAACAAATTAGCCACCAGACCTTTAGCAAAAGGCAAATAGAACTGTAGATAATTCAATAAAATTCTATTTAGGGTCATATTTATTCCATCTGATTGCCTGACCACCTAAGGCAGGGCTGGACTTATCAACAGGCAGATTGGGGTGGCCACCTCAAGCAGCAGATCCTGGGGTATGGGGATAGTCCCCCAGCTTGTTCCTCTCTGTTGGAGGACAACTGCGTGTCATGAGACCTGTTCTGAACCAAACCTTGCCTGGTACTCTCAGGAGTGGTGGACGATGTGTGTCCAGGAGGGGGCACCATCTTATATGGCTCAGGCAGCAAAAATTAAAAATGGGGGCTGGCCTTGGCCTTTCTTCTAGGCAGCTCCTTGTTATGGAGCTCCCTCCAAAGGAAGATTTGGCTGGCCTCTAGCCTCCTTGGCAAATATGTATGCTTTTCTGGAGAGTTTGCTCTGTGCTGCTTTCTGCTTTTTATTTTCAAAACTTTTATGGCGGTCTATGTGTTTTTATTATGTCTATGGTAGGATTATTAAAAACATCAACAACAAAACCAACAAGCCAAGGTACTCCGTGTCTCTTTCCATTTCCCCCCTCCAATGTTATAAATTAGACACGTTTTGAGAACTGCTTTCAACTGGCTAAAATAATAATAGCATTTTCCATTGAAAGAGCAGGGAGCTGGGTACAATCAGGACTGATTCAGCTGCCCAAAAATAACACAGCCAGTTACATGCAATGCTATGGGTGGGTTGTTGTTTTTTTGGGTGGTGGGGGATTTTGCCCCAGCATCCCTGTAAGGGACTGTAGACATCACGCCTCTTAGTTACTCTGAAGCAGCAATAAGTTATTGGGGGCAACAAGAAAACAGACACCTGCCCTTTCTTCCAAATCCAGACTGACCACTAACCACTACTCTAGGTATTAGTGCTTAGCTCCTAAGGGTGCGACCCTAACCTCACTTACCTGGGAATAAGCCTCATTGCACTCTGCGGGGCTGACTTCTCAGCAGACACATTTAAGATTGCGCGGTCAGATGTGAAAATCCCAGGGTTTCCAAACCTGTCCATTGCCCCTGCCTAACCTTTGACCTGGAAGGCCTTCCCTTCATCCCGGATGTGCTCAGGAGGGATGCATATGTGTATGTTTGCATTCAGCGGTGCGAGAAAGGAGGAGAAGCAGCCCCTGGCCAGTCCCAAATGCGCTCTCCCTGCTGTTACTCGTCCCCTGGTTGTTGTAGTAAATAAGTGCCGGGGGGCCGAGGAGGAATCGTCTGAATAATAGGAATTCTCATCGTCACTTAAACAAACCAATCGCGAGATGCGATGCCGGTTTGGTCGCTTAGGCCCTGCGCTTTGACCCGGACCGGGAGAGCACGATAATGTGAAGCAGATTGGCAGCCGGCGAGAGACTCTTGCAGAGGCCCCGGTCACAAACCCGCCCGTCCACCCCCGAGCTGCTGCTCCGGCTTAACGCAACAAGAGCCCCGTAAGAGATGAAGGCCGCTTCCAAGCCTTCGCTTTGCAAAGGCGGCTGCTGCTGCCTCTGCCTCCACCGCCCCTTCCTTTCATTCCCCCAGAGGCTACGCAGTCCGCCCTGCTAACAGCAATAGGGCGGCTGCTGCTGCAGCTGCTGCTATTGCTGCTTGCAAGGGACTTGCAATTAGCAGGAGCCCGGCACGAGCTCAGCCCAGCGCCTTTCACTTATTCACTTATCATTTTATTATTTTATTTTAATTCCAACCCCCTCCTATACTTTTTTTTTTTTTTAAGCAAGCCGCACTTCGCTGAGAAAACAACCCAGGAAGTGACAAGCCCATTTCCTTTCTCCGGGAGGATCAGTCCAATACAGCACCGCCGTTTCGGCAGGGGAGTCCTGGAGCAACCTTGGCAAGATTGCGGAGCTTCCCGCAGGGACACGCGCGCGACGGGGCGGCTTGGTGACGCGGAGTCCCAAGTCCTCTAGCCGGGGTAAGAGAAGGTGGCCTTTGAGCGCTTGCACGCCGACCTTCCCTTCTGCAAATCCTCTCTCCACCCCCCCCGTCTTTCTCCCTCGTTGGTCTCGTCCTGGGCAGATATTGTTACAATGTGTAGAATAGTAGAGCAGAGACACTTTCATTCCCCTCTCGGACAGAGAGAGAGAAAGAGAGGCTTTCTTGATGGCTTGAGGTGGAAGCTATTTATTATCTGCTATTTCCTTCTCTCCCCTCTCCCTCCTCCCCTCCCCCCTCCTCCACTTTTCAGTTTTTATTTTGTTGGTGTTTGGGAAATACTGCTCCCGCTTCCTTGCCGGTGCCTGGGATGAGGAGATGACAGGAGTGATCAGAGACAGGGGACCAAGTTCCTATTGCTGCTACTGCAAAGGCTGCTATTGGCATTCCGGAAAGGAGCGAGCGGGGAATGCACGATGGTGATTGATCTGGGGTGTGTGCGTGCGTGTGTGCTCCTTTAACCCGGTTTCTAACTCCATCGTTCTGGGCTGTCATTATCAGCAAACAAGAGAAGCGAGCTTAGAGAAGGGACAAGAGGTTGGGGGGGGGGTGAGTTTAGGAATGATCATTTTGTTTATTGAACTTTGCATGTGGACAAGGAAAAGGCTGCCTGCCCTGATTGATTGAACTGAGACCATGCACTGGGGCTGCTGCTAACCAACTGGAAGTGTGCTAACATTTCCCCCCTCCCCCTCCTAGCTACCCCCCCACCCCCACCCCACCCCCCTGGTTAGATGTGTTCCTCTTCTGTTTCTTCTTTACGTAGCCATAACTATAAATATGATGATGATAATTTGACGGGAGTGAGACTTTACTGTATGGATTTGCACATGGCGAAAGAATCTGCCCTTGAAAGGCTCTTTTAAAGTTAAGAGTTTTGCAGTACGTCATTGATTTGTCAGCTATATGAGAGTTTAGTCCTCAGGCTTCATTTCTCTTTCCCCTTTCATGAAAATGTAGAAGTCGGCCTGGGCACAAGCAGGCTGACAAACGCTTCGTTATTCATGAGTGTTTTATATCTCTGTTCATAACAGCAGTTGCCAGCAGTGTTTATGTCTGTACGTCCCATTTGCTCTTGCACCCCATATTTTTCACATTTTATTTTTAGCTCTTTTTCTCGTTTCCTCCTCTGGGATAATGTTTCTGCATACTGTGAGCCTCAGTGAGTGTATTGTGCATATACTTGCATGATGATTTTGTTATGCTTGATCAATGGAGGGCTGTCATAGTCTATGCTCCAAACCACCATTATATCACTGGCAGTCTACTCAGATGTGACTTATATGTTTGCATGTATTCAGGTAGCTTATGCTTCCATTAAAACAAGCTCAGCATGAAGTTGGATTTAGTATACACTTTTTTTGGGGGGGGGTGTAGCCTAACCAGATATCTTTTTAAAAAGATAATTATAGATTAAATGTGTTACTTTCCTGAATTCTCAGTTACATCTTGCTTTTACAGAGCCTAGGGGTGGCATTTAACTAAGTTTTATTCCAAGTCTGTGAATGTGACTAAGTTAAATTCATTAATTTCAATGTGTCTACTCTGGGGGGGAAAAGCAGTTGACCACCACTCTAGGTTTCTTACACAGTTTGCTTTGAGTAGGTAAATGGATGTCATAGTATTGATCAACAAGCATGTTAATAGCATTGTATGCATAAGCCATGTTACAAGTACTGATGAAAGTAACAGCACTCCTTGTTCTTCAGTGTGTCTTGGACTGTAGGGTTTTGTGTGTGTGTGTGTGCTTACACTCTTCAATTGGTGGGGCAGGACACACTAGTGGGTCACAGCCAGAGCCAAGATGGGCCACAACAGGGGCACTATCACTATGCAAATATATGGCAAAAGAACTGGGTTCCCAAATGCATGTTTGGATTAAAGGGGAATCCTGGGTCTGAAAAGTTTCTAGACTCCTGCTCTAGATGAACTTTGTGCAGATCAGATATTTGGTATTAGATTGGTTAACAGTTTGCAGATTGTTAGCACTGTAAAATAAATCTTGAGGGAGACTGTAAAATCCGAAGCAGACTCCTCGGTTTCACAGCCCCTTTTAGGATCTAGGGAAATGGTGCCTTTTGCTGAGATGATTTAGGAGTGTGCTCTCATATGTAGTCTTGGCAGCACAGCAGACGTAGGCTGCTTGATTACAAGCTCTGCCCTGTGTTCAGGAGACCACAGTGCAGTTTGACTATAGGGAAAAGATACAAAGCCAACTAAGCAAGCGATACTGTGAGAGAATAGGCATGCAACCAGAGAATGGTACTAATTATGAAATTGGATGCATATTTGTTACAGGATTATGCCCCACCCCCAGTGTGAAGAACACCTTACATTTGGCTTCACTGATTAATGTTAACCCACATATTCTTACTGGGTTAACGAAATAATTTATTTCCCTTTTTCTATCATTTTTTTTTTAAAAAAAATCTGAACTGAGGAATGGTTCTGTTAAACTTAAATGCTTGTATAGTAACAGAAAAATAAGAGTGCTGGTTGTTGTTGTTGTTTTACTGCCCTATGAGACAATCCTATATATGTTTACTCATAATTAAGCCCCACTGCATTTAGTGAGGCTTGCTCCATAGTGTTTAAGATTTCAGCCTCTGTTTATTTGGGTTTTTCTTGCAAAAGCCTTCACCAATACCTGCTAGATTATTTTCCTAGAATCTGAAATGCACAAGAAGACTTTTATCAGGGACAATCCAGTAAGGACAGATTAAACAACCTGTGTTTATTTGATAAGCAATTAGGTATTCAGCCAGAGAATGGAGTTGAGCTTTGCATTTTGAACTGAAACAAGTTAAATTTTCTCTCCACGTCAGTTGTGTGCAGCTAACGCATTTGGAGATTTGAGTTAATATCTACTTTTTTCAATGAAGCTGACACACTGGCCATGGACAAGTTCCTATTGCTATGTCTTTTCAGGGTTCTTTTTTGATTGATGCATGAAAGTGTAGGTGAGACTTGAAAGCTGATGGATGTTTCTCACAGCCTGATTACCATATTAGTACTAGGGAGATGCCCAGGACATCCTAAAATTATGCAACTCCATTGCCTATCCATCTATCAATTAAATAGTTTCTCTCTAGTAGTTGGCATACTTCCATATTTCCTATTCATACTGAAACTACATTTTAGAAGATGTCTTCCGAATCATAGGTTAGAAATATTCCAAAATTTGGTCAGTTCAGAACTGTAGAACGTAAGGAAAAATAATGTTGTTAGATCCAACTGACAGTTGGAGAGCAATTACTTGACAAGGCTGCAAAACTATGGGCAACATACTTCCATTGCCTACTTGCTCAATGGAAATCCGCTTGCAGAGTAGGAGTTTCAGTTTCTCTTCTCCATCCTTTTCACGTGCCCTCAAATCTGCTTGGACAGAACCCAAATGCTCCAGAGTAGTAGATGTTGGGGTTCAAAGGGGTGTGTGTGTGCTCTGACCCTGTCTATTTTGCCCTATGCTATACTTTACCAGAGTCCACTTTTCAGCTGGGTAATTCAATTGGCTGATCTGATTTTTTAAAATATTAAGTGGTTTAGAAATGCTTTTAAATAATATTAGATAACAATTTCTCTCAAAGTAATACAATATGAAATAATTAAGGTTAGTGGGGCACAGTTTTCCATGTCGCTACACATGTGTCCTTGGAAACCTTTGGCCACTTTCACTCAGATTGGAAGTAGACTTATCTCTATAGATATCTCTGTAGAGAAATTATGTTTAAAGCAAGCCACAATTTATTATGTAATATGTTGATAAAAGGAGGCTTCAGCTTTAGATTCAACCCAGATGTTAAAGGTTTTCTTTCTAAATGCTTTTTAAAAAAAATACTGGTGAGCATAAATATCACACCAGGTTTAAAGTGACTTCCAAGCTGCAGAAAGTAATGTTGGCTTGCAGTAATCAGGATTTAAAACATTATCTACTCCAGGAGCATTTGGTCTCTCCTCCCGAAATCCTATTTAATTCCATTCATTTCTCAAACACTCAATTTTCATGACTCTGCCTTGAAAGAATGGTTTGCTCTACAGTCGTGATATACATGGTGTCAGTGGGGCCTGACCTACCTGACCTACCTCACTTGGTCATATGCTTTAAACATCACGGCTTTCGATATTTGCGAGGAAAGAAAATGCTTCTATATCTACTTTCAACAAATAAAACGCACACGGTGATTTTGTAGGTGATTGGAGAAGTGGTCATATAAATGGGCTAGCAGTAGAGCCAGTGGGGTGATCAATAAAATGTAATAAGTGAAATGCAGCTCATGTTTGTATGGCTGTCGTTTAAAAATCTGGCATAGAGATTGTTCTCCTTTCTTCTTCAGAGGTAATGCCGTACCACAGTATTTCCGCTGGTTCAAGAATGGTTGCTTTGCATTGAGGCAGTACTACATACATGGATATGTGTATTGAAGCTGGGCTTTGTACATATTCTTCTTTAGATTCAGTTCTTTCCGTACAATCTTGCAATTTACAATTTAATTCTGTCCCTTTTTTCTATTTTTGTTGCCTTAGTATTTATTACACCAGCAAACAGTGTTTTACAGAATATATAAAAAAGCCCTCATTCTGTTTAAATACCAAAGAGTCTTGCAGATCTTTAAGGTGGCCTGAGGCCCTTTTATGGTCTAGACTCCACTTCATCAAGTAGTTGATGAATGTTTCTGCTGTAAAACATTTGTCAGGATTGCAAGGGACTTGGTTATTTTTGCTACATAGTTGTACCCTTGGAAGTTTTGTTGGTAAGGGTGGCAGTGGTTAATCTGTGCCCCCCTGGGTGTTGCTGGCCTACAACTCCCATCTCTTAAGAACTGGCCTTGTTGCCTGGGGCTGATGGGAACTGGAGTCCAAAATATTTGAAGAGGCAGACGTTAACTGGCCCCAGCTTGGAGGAAGTGTTCAAATCAAATCAAATAGTGTATCAAGGAGCAAATGCATTCAGATCCCATTACATTTTATCACCCCTAGCATCTCACATGAGAAAGATTTAGGACCTACTGTGTAGATCTTCTTCAGTTCTTTCGGAGCAGTTCATTTAAGGAGCTACTTAATTCATCCTGCTTGTGGATGCATGGAAGCCTTGTTATACAAGAGCTGGATGGAGGCAGAATTGCTACGGTCAAAGTGCAAAACTTGGGATGTTTGATTTGCTTTTGTTAGAGAAGCCCTTACCACATTGCTTTTTAAAAATTTGGTGTGTGTTTGGCCTGCTTTACTAGTGGTAGGTGTGTTGCTGCGACAAAAAAGATAACTGTACAAGCACAGCAAGTTTGGCTGTATTATGGCCATGATGTTTGCTAGAAAAACCATTGGGTGTTTGCTGTTATACTATTAGCCCTGGGGCCTAGTTTGGGTCTGACATGGAGGGATGGGCATGAACTAGCTGGATGTCAGGCACCAGATTAGGCAGACAGCAACCAAGGATAAGAGGCATGTGATGTAGTCACGAACAGGTTGGAGGTCAAATACCAGATTGGATAAAGCAAAGTTGGGCCTCATATGAGATGAAGTGTGAGAGAGAGTCTGTGTTATGTACTAGGACGAGTTGCTGACACTAGCAGACCAGCTTAGAAAGAAGGGATTTATAGGGCCTGGTGACTTTCCACTGTGGACCAACACCTGGACCGCTGCTTCAGCCTAGAAGGAGCCCTTGCCCTATGAATAGCCAGATCCATCTGTCTGGCTGAAGGACTAGAGTGCTGGTGGCTGCTGGAGACCATTTTAAAAGACCTTTGCCATTTGCCTTGTTTAAGCTTATGTTTAACTTCTTGTATATCAAATGAACCTGCCCACATAGGAAATATGAATAAGTAACAGCCTATTTCTAACCTCGGACTAGCTTTTCCAGAAATAAGACAAGGGCTATTGATTCAGACTTTTTTTTTTTTTGCTATGACAGCTTTTTACTTGAATGATGGAGCCAATGCTATGACTACCCCAACTTAAGCATTTACAAACATTTTTGTTAAAATTCGGGTAATACCGGGGAGATCAAAATCTGATTTGAGGGCAACTGAAGTGCTTGACTTTTCTTCTCACCGTCCCCAGCCCACAAAGTGAAGCAAATAGCAGAATATGTGCTGTAATAAAATTTCGTTATTGGAGCAAGGAGCAGGGAGGAGTTAAGTAGGACAGGCATTATTCTGTTTAAATGAAGTCACTGTTGGCAAAACAGAAAGTTATTTGACTGGGAAATATTCAGTGTGTCACACACACACACACACACACACACACACACCATGGCAGTCCTAGTTGCATAGTTTTTTTTTTTTTTAAGTTAAATTTGTCAATACAGCTGAAAAGGTTTGGATTGGTTTTGCATATTGTCTGTGTGAGAGAGAAACAGGGCCTTCTCTGCTATTTAGATGGCTGAGATGGGCAACCACAGAAAGCACGTTTTAAGGGTATTGTTAAAGGGCACATTGTCAATTACTTCATTCATTTTAATATTTATTTACTGCAATGGAGGAACCATCTTCTACATCAAATACCAAAATATATTTTGAGAAAAAAAGTTGTTTGTTTCTAAACACACTTTTACAGTAGTCATCTCAAATATCATGTTGTTTGCATACATTTAAAAGCCATGTCTCCATAATACCACATAGATAGATAAACTTAAGATCCAGTTCACTCACAGAGCTGTGTAATTCATAGCCCACCGGAGATTGTTTGAGCTAGACCCATTTTAGATATTCATGTAATTAAGAACAAGTCCAAGTCTCATGTTGCCAATTCACATATGAATTCCACATACATATCCTTGTATGTAGGCAGTTGCTTATTTACATACGTAACTCTTGAATCTGGCCTAATGTTTCAAACCATGCCTGCATTAACACTTCCTTTTCTTGATTAGTTATTTTCTTTCTGGTATGACAGAGATTGAGCTCTGAAGAAGTAAGAGAAAAAAGGCCGACCAGCTCATATATTTGCAGTTGAAACTAAAAATATTGTGCTATTTTATTCTTGTCTAAAAATTCTTTTTTAAGGCTGAAACATGTAATATAAATTAATATATCGATATTAATTATATTGATAAAACAATGTATTTTAAAAGTTATTCTTCCTATTTCACAATGTTCATACCTTTTATCCCATTTTCTCCACCAGGTAGGAGGGAGACCATGGCAGAAGCCATCTCTGGTGACTAAGGAAACAAAGAACATCGCTGAAGGATTTTGGATACCTGTGCATTTCAAAGGTATATGAAATACATAGCCATACATATTTCTAGAGTTGCTTTCACCATCTCTTACTAGAAGGGAGGGTGTCAGGCAGTATGTACATGATGGCAAGTGGCTGGGCTCTTCATAATGACCTGTAAGGAACAGTATAGGAATAAAGTGTTTTCAGAACCTTCCCTTTGGAAGCCTCAATGAACATTAACCAATACAAGTTACAGCTTTGCTGTTAATGAATTTGGGTTTCATGGATTAATTTGACTCTTTCCTTGCACATTGAAACAGTGTTCTATTGATCTAGTGTTGTCCTTCGGGCAAAACGTTCAACATGGCCTTGAGAACCGACTTCAAGTTGGAGCGCGGTCACTGCCTTGCTGGGTGTCCTCTCTGAAGCGCCTCGTGACGCATGCTCTTATCTGTAAAATGCTAACAAAGACATAGCTTTCGTTCTCACAACTCATTCTGCAAGTTATCATGATTATTAGCTTAGCTAATACAGTTTCTGCAGAAGCTCATTTGAAAGCATATTGCGTACAAAGTATCACCAGTGTTTCGCGCGCGCCCCCCCCGAAATCTAGCATGCATGAACTATATCATCAAGAAGTATAAAACCCTTAATCAAATGATCAAAGGTCTTTGTAAACTTTGCCCATAGAGCTTCCACCTTGGAAAATAAGATTTGAGTTGGTATTTGGGATGCTTGGGTAGCTGCCAGGGACGCAGCACTTTAGCAAGGCTCACCCCTCTTGCTTTTTGCACTGGACTGACACTTCCAGCAGCTAGCATCACTCTGGGGCACTGTGGAAAATTAGAAGACCCAGTTGCCCAGTGCTCTTGGAAGTGCTGCCACCAACAGTCAGGTAAGCCTACCAGACAGTCACAGTGCACAAAGTGGGGTGCTGCCACTGCGCAGGTTACCTGGTTGCAGTGGTCCTGCTGCTCACCAGGACCTGGATGGGATGAGACAAGGCAGTGCCAAGGGCAGAAGAGATTGAGCAGCTGCATCGCCTCAAGTTGCTAGTCTAGTGCTTCCTTTGCCCTTGCCACTGCCTTGCCCCACCTCACCCCACCCCAGTGTTCACAAGCAGCAGTGTGGCCACAGCTAAAAAGGCAGTGCAGTGGCAGCAGCACCACAACAACTACTTGGTCCCCCCACAAACCTGGAATTAGCCCTAAGAGATAGATTCCACAAGTAGGGTTCTCAGATGCTCCCTAGCCTACCTTATTTTATTTTATCCTCGAGCTTGACACCAAAGGTACTGTATATACTCGAGTGTGAGCCGACCCGAATATAAGCCGAGGCACCTAATTTTAGCACAAAAAAACTGGGAAAACTTATTGACTCAAGTATAAGCCGGTTCACCACACCACAAACCTGGTGGTGGCGGCAGTGGCGGAGGAAGAACAACCAGCCCGAAAGGGTTGCTTTCGGGCTGCTCGTCCCTCTGCCGCTCACAAAAGCAGGCATAGGAGTGCTGCGCCTCTCCCAACTGTGGCTCCTGTGCTCCTTTCAGGCCGCTCATCCCTCCACTGCCACCGCCCGCCTCACTTGAGTATATGCCGAGGGGGGCTTTTTCACCATAAAAAATGTGCTGAAAAAGTCAGCTTATACTCGAGTATATATAGTAAGTGCTTTAATTCAAAATCATCAAAAGGTGCTGAGCTCTTATTCCTTTGATTACTCTCTTAAATATAAAGTTTGTCACCTTAAATGCTTATCAGTTAAGTGTGCCCGTGGTCCTGTATTTCTGTATAAAGGTGTGCCCAAACACATCAAAAAGTGAGAAAGGAGCAGGTTGTTGACACCAGTAATACTGATATCAAAACCTGTTCCCAAATTGACAGTGTGGTTGCCAGAATGCTTACTGGGAGAGTGAGATGGAATCTCATTACACTGATTCAGAAGGAGTTAGATTGATTGTCTGTTTACTTCTAGGGCCAAATTCAAGATGCTGGTTCTTATCTATTAAGCCCTAAAGGGCATGGGACCCCAGTACATGACATGACCATGTTTTAAAGCTCTTATCTGTGTCCCTTTATCAGGGAGGTTCAGTGGTGCATGGCAATGTGGAAGAAAGCCTTCTCTCTAGGGATGCATCATTTGATGATCACCTCCCCGCAGAAGCACACCTGGCTCCAATATTGTTATTTTTTGGTGCCAGCTTAAGGCATATTTGTTTGCCCAGGCATTTTAATTGGTTTAGTTTAGCCTGCTGTCTTGTTTCAATCTGCTCATCTTATTTATTGAGGTATTTTATGGTTTTATTAAGGTATATTACATTTGATATTGGGTTTGTTTACATACATGTTGTACCATGTTCTGGTAATTACATAGATGAAAGTTGGGCCAGAAGTACTTTTACAAAAAGTGAATGAATGAATAAAAATGTTAAAACTCGGATATTTGAAGAAAATATATAGTTGAGCCCTTCTGAAAATGCTGTCTCCAAGTGAGTCAGATCATTGGTTCATGTAGTACATTATTGCCTACCGTAGCTGGTGACAAGACTCTAAGGCATTGCGACCAGAGATCTTTTTAACTGGAGGTTCTGTGGACTGAACCTGGGACATTTCCACATGCAAATGTCGTGCTAACTTATGGAACCTCCTCTAAGCAGGTCTAAGGTACAGGCCCATGCCTCTCCTTCAGCCATGGAGTCTGTGGTATTTGAACACACAGCTTCACGGGCGCAAGCTGGTAACAATGCCAGACCTAAAGTGCTGAATCTCAAATACAGGACCTTCAGTGCATAGAGGCCAGTGCTGTTTTTTCTGTAGTCGCATAGGTAGGACTCTGAACATATTGGCTAGTATCCAGTCATGGGGTCTAGCAATATGAACATGAATTGCCAAAGCCAGACAAAAAGTGACTTGGTTCAAACAGAAGTTGGCATCTAAGTGCACAGACCTATCTAAAGTTAGGCTACTATGGGGTATATTTTGGTGGCATCTCCTGCTAGGTATCCTCTGCCCTTCCCATCAATAGCTTATGTAGCAAATGGGATGCATGTAGATGTCTGAGATCTGTTTGAAGCATCCTTTTAGGGATTGCGCACTCCTGAATGAAAATGTGTTCCCTAAAAGAACACCAATTCTAAGCTGTCTATGTCAAAAAACAGCAACAATTTTCTCTTAAACTTAAGAGAACATTTATTTAAGAAATTTCTTACCCACCCTTCACCATAAGGTCTCAGGATACTGTACAAAAATCTAATCATGCAGTTTTAAAACCAAATAAAACAGTTGCAGAGCAAAATCTGAACAACAGAGACAACAGAGTGATGCTTTGCATAGTTGCCACCTCCCTGTTCGTTTCATGGGGCCTCTCCTTCCCTACCTTCCCATAAATAAGGGGTCTCAATTTCCCAGCCTTGAAATAGGAAGGTGAGGAGCTGCAGCTGTCTGCTGTATCTGTGTAAAGGTTTTAGTTTGGGGGAAGGAGCGCTGACTGGTTCTATGTGTGTGAAAGGTGTGTGCGCCCACATTTGTATGTGGCGGTGATGTGTATGTTTTGTTTCCATATTTATATATGCAGTGGACATGCTTGTTTCAATCCAGTGACCCTGAATCACGCCCACCCTTTTTGTATGGGTAACATCCTGCCGTACCAATTATCATAGTTTAACCATTATAGGAATATTAAAAAGACCATTGGACATAAGATCATGGAGCATAAGGACAGCACTGCTGGACCGGAACAATATCCTATGTAGTCCAGCACCCTTTTCTCACAGTGACCAACTTAGATGCCTTTGACTAGCTTCCACAAATTTGTCTAATCATCCTTTAAAGCCACCCAAGTTGGTGGCCATTGCTATCTCTTGTGCATGTAGATTCCATAGTTTATCTATACAGTCATACCTTGGGTTACAGATGTTTTGGGTTGCGCACCACGCCAAACCCGGAAGTACTGGAACGGGTTACTCTGGGTTTTCGCGCATGCACAGAAGCGGCGAATTGCAACCCACGCGTGCACAGAGATGGTGCTGCGGGTTGCAGACGCTGCGGGTTGCGAGCGTGCTTCCTGCACGGATAATATTCGCAACCCGAGCATCCACTGTACAGTGTGCGAATAAGTATTTTATTATGTCTGCCCTGAATCTTCCAATGGATAAGTGAAGAACATCATCTGAGCTTTTATCACTGTTGCCATACCTTGACATGAGCCTGAAAACCCCTACATTTTAACCACTCACATACTGAGTTTGGCAGGGTGCTTAAAAGGGATTAGGTGCAATTTGAAGTGATCTTGAAAGTAATCTACCCTTTAAGTGACCTCTTATCTCCTTAAGCGCCTACTATGTTCACAGTCATAGCAGCTAAAAGGGGATTTGTTGAGGATCACTTAAGCATGATCAAGGTGATTGTGGTCTTGACAGTTCCAACCTGAGCTAGGGGAAATCTTGATGTGGGCAGGTGAGGTGGGTGGGTCTTTGAAACTACTGTTGGTGCATGGACTAATGGCACCAAGGCTGCCGTGGTAAAAAGTAGGAATTGGTTTTTAGTTAATTTTATTTCAGGTAAACTCGTTTAGAGTCAGGTGATAAACCTTCTAAAACAGTGGAGACCTGACATACTATAGTTTATCAAACAGGAGCACTAAAATTCTTCTTAACAAACTGGAGCACTAATTTAAGGAGCATTAGGTCTTTCTCTGAAAATTTATCCTTTATGACATTTGAAAAGGAAATGCTCTGTCATCTATTGTACAGCACAATGAAACCGCTCTCATCGGCCAATGAGGAAATACTGGAAGTACTGTCAAGCCCATAGGCTCATCAAATGGATTTGTTTTGCTCATTATCTAAATGCTCACTTGTCAATTACCAGCATATATTCGCTTTGGCCTGATTGTGCTTTCTTGTACACATGCATCCTATTACTTATGCAGTCTGTACAGGTGCCTGTGTTTCCATTTCCCGCTTCAAAACATATTGGTGGTTTTTATCTTTCCAAAGAGAAGCCAAAAGGAAACTTGGTTAGGTTCAGATGGTCCATATTACCTGCCAGCCCAATCAGT